TTCAGCCAATAGAGTCCTTTTTCATCACCAGGTTGTGTGTACTCACTTAATTTTCGAGTGGTTGAAGGTAGTAATTATTTCGTGACTAGGTTAATCATGAAATCCTACTTGAAGTATTTACTAGAGTAAAATTTTAAAGTTATTAATAGCTGAGATAAATTTCCTATTGTTTAAAAACAGCTTTAAAATGACTTGGTTTTTCTGTGCATATCCAAAAAATGAAATACAAAAGATTTTCTAGTATTATTTCTTGAGTGTTCTTAAAATTAAAACATACATAAGTAGCTCATGTCCTCCATCATTTTCAAAACAAAGTTGAATAGTTTTCTGAAGTACAAAACATAATTACGAAGAGAGTAAATTTTGAGTAAATAAGTTTCAAGCAGTCATTTCAGAAGTTTTTATGTTTATTACTCGTTAAAAAAATTTTTTCTCCTCCGTACTTTGAGTATATTTCAACTGAGATGGACTAATAGTAAGCCTGTTAGAGTCGAACCTGTATAAATCAAAGTAATTACAGACTTATTAACTACTGTCTACATATCATTGATTCTAGAAAATCTACCTGTGATCAGAACACTAAAGTCGATTACTTTCCAGTAAAAGTGTGTAAAGTAGCCGAATGCAGATTATAATGCTGTGAAAGCTGTCATTATGATACAAGCTTAGATTGCTACTAACTTCAATGACAAACATATCAACATATCAACTCTCCAAATCGCTGAGGAAAACATACTTCGCCGTAAGCCTACGACTGACGTTTTCCTGCAAGAAACTGTTCAACCAGAACGCGAAAGACAAGCTGTCGCATTGGGCCACCTCAACGTGCATATACCAGTTTACTTGCTCTTGTGGAGCTGAGTACATCGGCCGTACCATGCGCCGACTTGGAAAACGCGCTCGTGAACACTACCCAGCCTGGCTAGTAAAAGGAGACGAAAAACGTGTATACAGTTCAGTGACACAACACCTGGTCAACTCAGGACATTCAGCGCCTTTCGAAAAATCCTTCAAAGTAATATACAAGAATCAATTAAACCTATCAAAGGGAGTGAAATCAAGACAGTTGGGCATAGCTGAGGCGTTAGCTATCCAAAAACTCAAACCCACTCTTTGTATCCAAAAGAAATACGTCCAACCCCTGTCCCTGCCATGGCCATCATAAACAGGTAAATTTTTAATAATGACCATCCCATCGCCTTTCTTATCTAAACTTCCTGTTTATTCATGTTATTTTAAGTTTTCTTAATCCCTGTCTACACTACCATATTTTCATATCCACACTTCCTGTTTATTTTGTCATTTTACTATTTCTACATATTTAATCCCTGATTGCATAAACAATTATTCATCACACTAGTTTTTTTATCCAAACATCCTGTATATTTTGTTATTTTTACATTTCTAACCCCCAATTGCCACAATGTCAATCTTAGTTATTATGCTACTTTGTTTGAGTTTTACCCATTCCCTTGTTTATTATGGCATTCTAACTCCTAATTGTAATTTTTATTAATTTGACCCGTAACCGGAAATTATTCTGGAACTTTCCCATCCATTTGATATAAATACACGATGTACAGCCTAGATGATGACTTCGTCGAAAAGAAAATTTTCTTCGCTGCAACTGTCTTTTTATTCCCTATGATCAAATGTGTATATTCCGTGATTTGCAACTGGTGATTATGAAAACTCCTTTATCATGAGTATTTTGTCCATGTAAATGAATATTTTCTTCCAATATTATTTGCTATTTTGAGGAATTTAAGGAAGAATAACTTAAACTGCTTGTTTGTTTTAGATTTCAAAGCGTGAATATTAGTGAGACTGGAATGACCTTGAGAGATTCTGAGTACCTTTTCATTAAAACAATATTTAATGTCACATAGTTTATTCGATGCTTGATAAATACAAAAAAATAACTAGCATTAGGAACTGTATAGTGGATAGTTATATTATTTTCTATGATAATGACCAACACGACTATTCCCCACTGTGTAATAATGTAACAATCCTCAGTGACAACTTTAGTTCAAGTGATACAGGCAGCTGAGTTTTATGGAAATGTGAAAGATTTTTTGTGCACTGACAACATGATGGAATGAAGTTTTTCTTTTTTAATGTAACATTGAGAAAAAGACCTCCACTTACAGCCGCGATAATTGAAGCAGTTTATTCATGATGTTTTATAAATATGGGTTTGATTATTGTAAAGGTATGCATGTGTATACATATTGTATTGTTTTAAATGTATGTCACACGTCATACTACAAAAGTGGTGGACATTAGACATGAAATGAAATACGTTAATTAATAAATACGTTATATATATATATAATCAGTTGAACGAGGTGCATACTTCTTATACTGTAAATTTTAAATGTTTAACAAATGGATAACGAGGATGTCTACTGGTATATCTTTCATTTTTTCTCACGTTTGGTCACGGACTGATATCATTTAGAGAATCATTGGAAACCACGGAGTACCGGACAGCTGTTTCGTCCTAGATTTATGGACTCATCCTTAATAGGTACCACCCAGGACTTTCAGATCATAAGGCAAGCTTGTAGACCACCCAGCCACTGGGACTGGACTCAGTGACCCGTGAATCCTAACTTCTATCAATTCGTGCTTTTAACACAACCACCAGCCAATGTCATCGGCGAGTGTGTCCTCACTCCCGATCGGGTGGATCCCACTGGTCACTACTTGTCACTAGAATTTCATGGAACCAATTCCTTTTTGCTTTTCCCCCATCTCTCAGTGTTTTTGTAGTTTGTCATTTCATCGCTATTTATTTTTTTACATTTTCAATGGTAATGAACTAAAATCTATGTCCACAGTTGTTATACATTAAATTATTACAGACAGACTCGTGCTTTTTTTAGACTTGATGCTCAGTAATATTCGTTTTCTTTTTCGAGTTTATATCACTGTTGTTGAATGTGATGGTTAAAATCTATCCTGTGAGTAGAATGTCATTTCTATCAGTTGATAAATTGTTCAACATATCAAAGATCGAGGATACTATTATTATGTAGTTTCGGATTTTACGCTTTTAAAACATGGAAAATAGAGTCTACTCACACATCATGTGACATTGCTAAGTATGCATCGTTTATATGCACTGTGATGTTTTGATTTATGCTAAAATTTTTATCAATATACTCACATATACAGCTATAGAAGAGTGTGTTGCACGTGTACATAAGATCAGAATGTACATACCAGCATTAACTAGACAGAATACCTTTTGCACATATACTTTTGCTAGTTAAAGTATGATTAAAGGTTATTTTCTAAGAGACTTAACGTGCCTTACTCGACTAATTCAAATAATCATTGATTATCTTATCCCCTTATATATAATATATATATATATATATATATATATATGTATATATATATATATTACTCGGCAAATAATATAATATCTAGATGCAGAACTATTTTTATTGGTTGGAAAATGCATGACATAAGTCTTATTATAGTTTCTCCGAATGTGTTTTGTTTGCAAAAGGAGAATTGGATCGGGATAAAGAAGGTGGTTGACTGGGTCGCATCAAAGGACGAAGCAGACAGAAAATAATTAAAGTGAACAATATTTTCTTTCAGTAAATTCTTCTTCATGGTCTGCAGTTGTAAATCTACTAATGTTGACAAACAATAACCAGTAAAGGCTTATTAGAATGGTATCCGAAAGTTTATTGTGGTACATATACAAAATGGAATAATAATGACTGAGACCATTAACTTTGTGACTTAAATGCCTAGGGGATGTACGCTGTATAGTCGGGGTTCATAAGACGTCTAGAAGCTATGATTTGAAATTTTGATTTGACTCAGAGTTAGTGTCAGTGGCACATATGCATTCACATCTCATCTTGTAATTCCACTTTCTTTATTTCTTAGTACCTTCTTTTGTCTTGCAGGATTCAAAAACGTTCAGTTGTGTGGCGTGGTTGTTTCGCCACCCTGTTTCTTATTCTTTCTGATGGGAACAGGACAACTTACAATGAACCTTAACTAAGTGGTATAGTATGACTTGACTGCAATATGTGCAAACAATACTAGCCATTCTGGAGTAGGGAAGATTTGCCCTTCATTACGTGACATTTATTCAGTTTTCCTTGGAATTGTTAGCCTGCTCTCACGTCTCTTCTGGTACTGTTTTTCAACTTAAAGTTAAATTATCTTTGCTTTTCCAAAGACGTCAGTCTGTATGCTACTTATATACCAGTGTTCGGAGTTCTCCGCGTAATTTGTTGCCTACTAGTTTCTTTTCATCTGGGATCTTCAAGTAAAGTAGCTATCTACAGTTTACCATGTGATGCAATGCTGTTCTGTCCGAAGCACAGACTAATCCGTTGTAATATTTTTCCTTCCTCTCCAAGTAATGCGCACTGGTAGTCTGAAGGTCAATTAAAAACGTGCCCGAATGCAATTCAAGGACACGATTGAAATATTGATATAAGAACTAGAGAAAATGTTATGTACTGTGTTGAATGGAAATTCCGGTAGCACAATGGTTCAAGCAGGTTGCCAACGCATGTAGTGTGTACCCACATAGGTCATTTTTTAGATAATGCTATATCCTTTGTCCATTACTCTGATGTATTTATTTTCACTCATCTGCACTAATTAATATAATGTTTGTGTAATATAATGATTTCTATTTAAACTGAGCAGCTGTTATGCTTGATTTACAGTTAATACATGGGTGGTTATGGAATTGGACTGTTCGATAAACACTTTTAGTACATATTATACTTTGAAAAGATATTCTGATTTTATTGATCTCCTTGTTATGTCACTGCTCATTTATCTGGTGTTAGTGAAGTAGAGTGATTTTCCAGTTTTAACATATCTCTAATTCTCGCCTTCAGTGGGCTATTATTAATTTTTTAAGATAGCATTTAATTATTCCAATGTGAGATTATTGCCATAAAATTAATATAAATTGTTTGATTTCCCTTTTGTATATGTGTGCCTTTCAGCTTACGCTAAACTTGTTTGTGATTCGTGTTGGTTAGATATGCGTAAGGTGCCTGATGATCCGCATGGTTTACATTATTCTGATCATGAAGGTGTAGCTGCTAGTTTCACTATTACACGACTGTCCAATCCAACTAAACTCGGTTAGTTTTGTTCTTTTTTTCCATTATATATATATATATATATATATATATATATATATATATATATATATATATATATATATATATATATATATATATATATATATATATATATAACTTAGCTTCACACTAAGTGTAAAATCACTTATTGATATAACTTAGCATAATCGTAATTTAAATGAAAATCTAATCACTTCATACATTCGGCCCCTTAAGTAGTGACTGGACCTATGCCGATTATTTAGTTGAATTTGTTACGATATGTTTGATTCTGAGACTTATTTTATTCAGGAACCGACATGAAATGGGAATTTACTTAAAAGGAAGAATTACTGGACAACAGCTCTTGCCAGTTCACAGTTTTTCAGTATTTGGCACCCAATATCTATGTTAGCAGTCAAAACAAGAATTATCCGTAATCGAGACGAAAGCCTTATTTTCCAGTGACTGTTGCAAATATGATTGCCAACTTTTGTCACTCCATCATAGTGGATGGCATCTACACACTGTATCTCTGTCATCTTTATTCTACTGTGTTTATAAACATTCTGAAATCTTGGTCATTATTGAGTTGTTTCAATTATATAATGTGACATATTGTGAAGTCCGAAAGATGTTGTAAAGTAATGCTAAATATTGGTGAAATATTACTGTTTAAATTGGAATTCATTCAATTCGTGTTGGTGTGTGTCTGTAATTTAAACGTAGACAGTGAAGTATGTAAGAAGGACTACAACTAGTTGTATCACAACATTCATAACATAAAGAAAAGTAAGTCATACCACAAATTAAAACCATACAGTTTGTTTGTTAGGCTGTACATCCTCACTGATTACGTCATTGAAACATGTGCGTTATCTATTTGTATCTAGGTGTTATTGTTTAAATATCGGCCCTTTTTTACAGTAACTGCTTAAGTATAATAGAAATTTATTGTTTTAATTTAAAAATGTTATTTATTAAGCTATCAGCTTATCAATGCACTCTTTCCTTATTATTTAGCTAATGATTGTTGAATAAATTATTTTCTTCTTTGACAAAAAATTAATTTAGAAGAGCAAAGCATGTCAACAGAAGAGGTGAATAAGTTACGTGATCTACTATCAGATGCAGATAAACAGTTAACTCGTGGATTAAATCAGTGTTTACATGGTCGACTATTGCATTTAACATGGGCAGGTGTAATTGTCTTTCTGTTATTCGTATTAATCATTCTAATTAATCCAACTGGTTGGTTAACTTCACTAATGAAGTGTTCACTAGAAGTAATACTTGGTGCTGTACTATTTTCCTTAATATGGGGTTCATTAATTGGTAGAACTATAGAAAAAGCAGGATTACAAAATGCTAAACAATGCGTATCTACATTATTATCCCGACTAGAGTCTTCAGTTAATGATTTTACTTTAGTTAAATGAATTTAAATCTTTCTTTAAAAAATCGAATAAGTGGCCAGCATATAAATGTAAACAACACAACGATACATTCCAAGCTACTGTGTCTTTGTTCTTTCTCCAAAAATTTGATTTCCTTCTGAATATATATGTACTGCAGTATTTATTACATTGTCTGTCAACATATTGTTTTGTATCCGTTATCATGATAATGGGTAATCACAACAGTTATTGTTAAATCCCTTACGTAATTTTTATTTTCCTAGTCCATTTTCCCGTTATTAATTGTCCTTGGAATGCACAACTGCCTCTCGTTTCGTATTGTAATAATCACACCGTGACTCATTACTATAATCCGTTATTTTTCATTCTCTGTGTTAGGTACAACTATCATAATACTAACAATAACAATAATAATAATAAAGTTCATTCGACTATCTATCTGTATTTACCTCGTCCAATATGTGTGTGATTATAAGTGAATTCCATTCAACTCTGTCGTTCTTTCGACTCGCTTTGTGATAATGGTAATCCTTTAATACACATCTTTTAGCACTGAAAAATTGTGTTCTTTTCATTTATTTGAATAAAGAAATAAGTATAAATTAGGACAAATATGTTTTCAAAAAAATGTAAAACAGTAAGATGAAAATCTGGGGAGAATTAACCAGGCTTTTCTTTCCTGTCTTCATCATGGATCAGTGCTGCTGTGATTATAGTCATAGTGTTGATAGAGGTGATTTTCAAAAAAAAAAATGCTTGTGCTCTCAATATAAAAATAAAAATGTTAATGAAAAGTATCTTTTTTTTACAAAGATCGTGAAATCATTCACTAAGTGGAATAATTATTTTTTGTGAAATAATCAAAACAGAAGTCTGCAGCAAACTTCATAAGTTTAAGTTGTTACATTTCGGAAAACTAGACATAAAAATATTGGGAATAAATGCAATAAAATTACAACAGAACAGTGTATAATTAGATTAAGTTTAGCCAGGATCTTTGGAATTTGGATAAAGACAAGAAATAGGTGAATACATCTGCGCCATTGCGAAAGATTTTGAGCTCTACCACAAAAACCCTCCACCCTGTGATTCTTACAGCTTCGAGAACCCTGAACAGACTACTCACACCAACAGTCATTGAATTCACGAGCTGATGCCATATTTTGGTTTTGTAGGGATTTTTGTTTGATTGGATGGAGGATTTCATCATGAACTGACATCACTTTATTTTAGTCTAACCACTCTTAGTTCTTTTTAAATCCAGTTAACGTCACTCTTCTAGAAAGGTGGCACTTCGGAATGTGTGAGACATGTCTTTGTCTTCTCTGTTGATGTAACTTCACAACCTCATTGATTGTCTTTTTCTTCATAGTATAGAAAAAATCTCAATTTAGACATTTAGAAAACAGAAAGATGGAGCGAAGAGATATATACTTTTCAAATAGATCCTCATCTCTGGCTGTACAATTTTCTTCTGAACACACAGGTTTGGTCACTTTCCTCACCGTGGCCATTGTAACATGAATGTATAAACCGGACTTAGTTACTTATAAGAAAAGGGCGTTCAGCGAAGAAAGCTAAACTTAAGCCTCAGACAAAACCATTAAAGATATAAGTATAAAACTTGGGTACTTTGGTAGAGTATAACTCCATTATGGATAAGATTTTATTTTGATAAATCACACAGTGCGTCGGTGGCACAGTGGTTAGGACTCTCGCCGACCATGCACATGATCCGGGGTTCGATCCTCTGCCGACGCACACCTGATATCTATGGTCGGCCTGCAAAATTTGGGCTACCGATATCCATGCTGAAAATGCCATACTTGTACTGAAAATACAGTGTGGCATCAAGCTGTAATCAAAATAAAAAAAATAATAATAAATATTAACTGATGACGTTTCGAGCACAAACTATTGCTCATAATCATATACGGTTAATCACACAACTTTTTTCTTCATTTATATACATAGGTTCATATATAAGAGAAGTTCCAAAGAATAGAAGATCCTAGGCTTTGATCATGTAAAAGATGAAGATTTAGTTAGACAAATGTAAACATTTCTGACTAATATCACCTGGATTCTATGGCTATGCGTGTTAGCTGTCCGTTTGTTTTCATTCAAGAATTTTAGAAATTTGCAATGGTACCGAAAACTTGTACATCGAGTGGTGATGATAATTGTGTATTGTTCTTCCCAAGTTTGATACTTCTTCATGAACTTCCCAGCAGTTTAGACGACTTGATCATGTAAGATGTGGATACATAATATGATTGTATTGCTGTACTCATTTGTCGTACGCTCATATTTTCAATCATGAATTGTTGATCGAATTTTTCGCGTTTTCCCTCTGATCTAATGATTAATTATTGACTTGTCCAAACGACTTTTCTGGTTGATTGATAGGTATTACGTTCATTTGTGTGCTGGCTTCCGTTTTGTTGGAGTACAATCCTTCAGAAAATACTCTTTCACTTCTTCTTGGGTTTTCACGTTGTAGTATTTTTTAACCGTCATTGGTAATTGAGATGAGAGATGACATATGATGTTTAACTGATGCTTGATGGCAACGAATTTTCTAAACTGTCCAGCATAGTCTGGTTGATAATTTCTTTTTCCCAGTTGGTTCTGTAGATTGTATTCGTTTTGTCTTAATAAGATGATGACTATTTCAGTATGGACAAGACAGTTTGTAGTTAGTTGCTTTGTACTAACGGGTGTGACAAAGTCGTTCGTTTTCTCGCTTCTTGTGACAATCCTCTGGTTCTGTACTCTGGTAGTAGAGAATTTCAAAAAAATAAAATTAATTGTTTTGAAAATGTACAGCTTTTCTAATGGCTAAAACTAACATCCAGTAGTTTCACTAACTTTTCTTATTGTTATTTATTTATACAGGACGTATTCATACCATTCCGATGTAACGTGTTGGTAGTAAATACTGAATGTACAGGCGTAATATCTGTGAAGCTAATTTGATGATTCATCTAGCTAGTTCTAAATGTCTTCCATGTAATGATGCAACTAGTTTTTTTTACCTCGATAACAATCATTTAAAAGAGCTAGAAGAGTTGGTAAAGATTTACAGAAAATCATTTTACATACAACAGAATACTATTATGTGAATATCAAAACTACTAGTTAAAAATATCATTTCAGTATATGGTCTATGAAACATCAACGATATTCGTTGCACACTATAGGTGTTCAATGAAACGATTTCACAAAATTACGGTCTAGATATGCGAAATCTTATGGAAAATACATCTTGTAGGATGGTGCTACTTCTCAGTAATGTTGATAAGACTATAATAATTATTATAAGCAATTAGAGATGTCAAACCTAATTTACTTAAACCTAGAATACACTTGCATGCGGTCAGTGTTTGCCAACTAATCCATTTTAATATCTGGGAGACTGAAGAAAATATATAGGTCACACAATTTTTCTCCTTTGTAATTCTAACTCCTGATTTCATAGCATCGTATTTGATGCTTATTAATGTATATCACTTAAAGTATCAGTAAATTTACCGCTTATTCATTGAGTATGCGGTATACTGCAGGGTGTTACTCCAAGACTAAATGAAAATGAATTTATATGGAAATATCATTGATATTTAGTTTTTAAAGGTTTTGCAGTATTGTTGTTATGGTTCTGAGGCAAAGGAAAAGTAGTAACAGTTGATAAAAATTTTAAATTTGTCGGGGATATAAGATATTTTTGTTATTGATATTCGTTAGTCTTGAGCGTTATAAATGAACAATAGATTTTATACGGTCTATTATCTTACATAAATGTATCTTTCCTTCCTAGTCATTTTTCCAGTACATCTTATGCTTCTACTTGTTACTGCAATGTTTTAAAATGTGTCAACTTGAAATAAGTAGTGTGTATTCGTGTTCTATTTTTTGCCACTATTTACTTTCTCTAATCCAATTTACCTGTTTTATACATAAAACACAGAATAAAGTAAATCCTTTCGTACCAAAAGATACATGAACTATAAAAAATAAAGTTTATTCATTAATAAAGAAAACTATACCAATTTGATACTACTATATGATAGGGTAGTATGAACACTCCTTAAAGTACTGTATATTTTGTACTAAAAATACTGTTGCTTTTGCTCTAAAATAAGTTAAATCTCAGTGGAAACTGAATTAGATAAAAATTAAAATAAACACACTTGAAAGTCATTGTTTTCTTTTCCAGTATGTAGGATGGAGGTATACTAAATGAACAGTGTCCTGCTGTATCTTATTATTTACTGTTAATCTACGCTGATATGTGAATAACAAGTTTAGACGGAGTTCCAATTAATGCTAATGTCAGAGTAAACCAGTAGATTCGCAAAAGAAAACTGAATAAAAGTACTGTAGAAAAATAAAGTGAATGATAGAATAGGAAATCAGTTCCAGTAATGCCTTTTTTCGGATGTATTGGGGGAAATGTGACACAAACACAAGCGGTGCATTTTGTTTTCAAGCACTTTGTTTTTTGATTTTGCCATCTCCGAGAGATATTACTGATTTTAACTCAACAGTTTTGATAGCATTCTGTTTATTTTTTAAAATTTTGATGATAGCTTGAAACCACACAGTATTTTTGGTACAATCATGGAATTTTCAGCATGTGATATCGGTAGCCCAAATTTTGCAGGCCAACCATTGATATTAGACGTGCGTCGGCAGGAGATCGAACCCCATACCATGTGCATGGTCGGCGAGAATCCTAACCGCTGTGCCACCGACACTCATCTCTTTCAGTTGATTTTAATCGTATTCTTCTCGAAACCTATGTGCTGAAGTCTTTTCATACTGAAAATTCTCAAATACTTCAATTCTTTTGCGAGTTAACGTTTACTTAAAATTACACGTCCGGAAAATTCTTGTTTTGATTTTTTGAACACCCTCTGTAGTTATTTTAAATAATTTTATGATGATCGAATCTAACTTGGCGCTCAAATTGTTCCCAGGAATCAGCGATTTATATGGTCTTGATATTTAACTATTGCTTATCTACTGAAAACTATATAAAACTAATGAAAACCATTGAAGTTTGTCGGATAAAGATGCTGTTTTATTTCTCATTGTCATTTTCGGCACTGAGTACTTTGGACCTTTACTGAATAATACCTTTTACAAGGAAAAAGTACGAAATATTTGTTTCCTACTGAACTATAGTATTACTGGTCAGTACAAAGCGTCAAAAAAGATAATATTATCATAAATCAAGATATATCTAGCAAATAATAGACTTTCAACTTTGAACCTAATGCATTTTTTATTAGCACGATAGTCGTCAAATTTCTTTTTTTAAGAATATTTAAAACTAAAAATAGATCCCATAAAATTAACATAAATGAATGTATGACAAAATTAAATTTCCATTACGCATGAATATTAAAGAGAAAACAAAAGAAAGACTACTGAATAATCTGAATAAAATAAATAAAATATGCACTGTGTATGCATGCACCGATATCATAACTACTGAAATTGATACTAATTACCTGGCATACATACAAATATGGAAATCAGTACAATAGGTAATAAAACCGTGCAACGATGAAAAATTAAAGAATTTTCAAACTAATATATATATATATATCCGTAATATTTGAAATAAAAAGTTTTTAGAGTAATCCTATTCATCATTTCTATGCAGTATTGCGAAGAATAGGAAACTGTTGTGTAAGTACAGACAGAACAAATGATGTTAAATGTGATGAAAGACTAAAAGAGTAGATGAATTAAACATCAGGAAGGCAGACGAACATTATTCCGCTACTTCCAATAATTATTTCTTTCCTTCCTCAATGCTGTTCCAGTCTTCGAGGAGTTTTTATAGATTATATATTTCCTGCTACCTTATTCACATAGTATCATAAATTTATTTGTAACACCAGAAAAGTCTGTTTTCCTTCCAAAAATACTTCTGTATGTACCAAAATGTCGTATTCTATAGATACCTGGAATACACTGACCATCGATAGAACTAACTGTCCACTGGATAACTGCAACACTTTGACCAAGTAACCATGCAAAGAATCCTTTTCTTTTCCAAATAAATCTAAAATGAATGTAATACACAGTGAATTTAAGCACTGCTTGTGAGTAGAACCAATGGTATGTTATAATATGTAACAATAAGGTATCCATTAAGCTCAAATATGTCGGTAAACACAACACAAGAATTTTTACGATTCATTTTCTACATTAGGTAGTAGCAATAAGGAACCTGGGGTATCGGTGATTCAGTGATAAAATATCCGGATTTGACTTCCGACCGGCATGAGAACTAATCCATACGCTACTTTAGTTGGTTTCTGTCGGCGACCATACCACGTTGAAAGCACCGGTTCTCGTCCGATCACCGAAGTTAAGCAACGTTGGGCCCGGTTAGTACTTGTATGGGTGACCGGCTGGGAATACCGGGTGTTGCCGGCTTTTGTGGCGTCGGTGGCACATTGGTTAGGACTCTCGCCGACCATGCACATGGTCCGGGGTTCGACCCTCTGCCGACGCACACCTGATATCCACGGTTGGCCTGCAAAACTTGGGCTACCGATATCCATGCTGAAAATTCCATACTTGTACTGAAAATACAGTGTGGCATCAAGCTGTAATCAAAATAAAATAAATAATAAATAAATACATGATTGAATGTTAGAGTGATATTTAAACCATTGTAAACGCAAGTCACATTACAACAATTTTTTCCTAACATAAAAAATAGTGTTCAAACGAATGCATGTGTTAAAAACCGGTTGACAAATTGATCTGAAAAATTTTCTATTTTGCATTCTGTTATTTGACGGTTAACGCAAAAATGACTTTTCTTACATAATGACATATGTTAAAGTTAACTTATGTATCTTAATGTATCATTGTACTCCTCCATTCTACGATTTTCGATCGTTAAATCCACTTAAATCTTTAGAAAACATACATAAGTAAAAAAAATACACTTACAAATGAAACCAACACTTTGTAGACAAAAAACAAGTGGTAACGGGGCTTCTTTCCCTAGATTTCATTGTAAAACTGTATCGGAAGAACCTAAGTTGTTGTTCACTGAACAGCATCATTTTCAAACTAAGTGAATGTTTAGGCTTTAATTGAATGTGGAGGAGTTTCATGTCAAAATGTAAAATCAAAAGATTATGTGTACGCAGTTTATCCGTGAAAAGTACTGAGTGTGTGATTTTCTATCGTGTGAATAAAGTTAGATACACATTGATTTTTTCAGGTAGATAAGGCAGCGTAGCTCTCAAATGAAATTTGCAAAGTTGAAATAGTGAAGGTTTGAAAAGTAAACTGAAGCAGCATCAATTAATCCATTTCGGTATTTCTTCCGTTCTCTTCAGTTTTATACAATTGAAAATATTTATCAGATCGAGCAACAGTAAGATTTTCAACACACTTCAGGTTATTCGATAGAAACTAGTTGATTAGTAAGATGCAGAAAATGATGTTCGACTGAAGTAAAAAAGGAATGTTTGACACAAGGTAAAGTTTATAAGTTACGTTGCAAATGATTACTTTATTAGGAAGTTCTCCTCTTGTCGCTTCAGAAGCCATAAATCAGGCTTGGAACAAATAATTGTAGTATTTTCATAAAAACTGTAGAAATATATAGACCGCAATATTTCTTTATAAGTTCAAAGCGTGTTTTTGGTATCTTTAACCTGTTAGGCACTTAGTGATTCACTTACTTATATCATTCAAGCCATTGAATTAAAGCCTGCTTGGTTCACAAGAAGTAGACTTTTTCTTTTCAATCTTTCAGTTTCCGTAAACAAATGAGAATTAGCATAAATAACTACATGTATATGAAGGATTCATAGAAATATGTGATTGCACAAATAAATAAGATATTCGAAACATAGGAGACATAGTTGTGATGCATGAAGCGTCTGACTATGTTGCTCCATATAACACATTCATAATTTCATAACATTCGATATCGTCGTTTTGCTGGCAGTGAATTTAAGAGGCTCGCTGAACTGTTTTGTACTACTTTCAGAGGTGGTAAATCGTATCTCAGATTTCAATCTCAACCAACTTTAGCTCTGTAAAGAGAATTAAGTAGATATTATTACATGGATCTGTGCGATAATGCTCGTTTTTATACTTTATTTAGAGCTAGTATCGTCTCTTTCTATTTAGAAATTAATTTTTTTAAATGTATAGTCTCGGTTCCTATACCCAAGCAAATATAAGAAGTGAGTCAACTGATTGCGTAAGAATGTGTAATATTTTTATCTACGCTAGGATGTATTTCTACTAAATGTGTATCTACTTTTTGTAAGTTTTAGATTATATTCACAAAGAGGGATTTATGATACTTTGTGAAATGTGAACTCTACAAATCTTTTTCACACAGAGACTTGCGTGAACAAAGAAATCATGTCCAGCGATAGCATAAACGTATTGGAACAATTGAACTGATTTGCTGTTTCGACGACTTCGAACTAAGTTCATCAAAATGTCTCTCGCTAGTTGTTTGCGGACAGATCTCGATAATTTCCACCAGTCAACGAGTGGATATAAAATTTAGGTTCACTGTAACATTAGGAATGCTTCAGTGTTCATCTTTGTTTGTCAGGTCAATGAAAGACATTAAATATCCAAGAAATAAACTAGAGCTATAAAAATGGTCAGATGCAGAAAAAATGGAAAGTGAAAATTCTGTTAATTTTATTTCTACAGAATGTGAATGGTTTCTAAAAGGATATATGCTGATTGTAGAGGATTCAACGTTGTCAGGTAATTTTTATCATGTTAATAATTTATTTTAGTACTCTACATCTAAAAATGTGTTAGACGCCCTTGGGTGAAATAGAGTAGATCATATGCAAAAGAAATAAATGTTTGAAAGAGTCGTCGAAATGGCAGCAAGGAACAGATTACAGTGAATATGTGCCTCTGAAGAATAATATTACATTCCGGAAGACAGGGATCAAAAAATGTAATACAATATGTCCCGATTCTAGTTCATTTATAGTGTCCAGCAACATGCGGGATAAGGTTAATATCTATGGCTTAGGCTAATGTGAAATTCGAATCAGTATCTTATAAGATTATTAAAAATGCATTGAAATCATTGGATAGGAAGACAATTTAATGAATGGTTTCAATTCATTTAATAAGCAAATTATTCGAGGTGATTTTGTGAAAGTTTCATCACTGTCAATCATCAAAGACAAATCCTGACGCAATACAACATTACTATGAAGTATGCATAAATGATTTTATTTCGTACAAACTCAGGGTATGAGTTTATTTTTTTCGTTTTAAAGGACTGGGGTTGGTATCCGGACGACCAGGGTATCAAACCCGGATTTCCAGCTTACTTGGTGAACATTATACCAATTTGAAAGAAATGCGTATCTCGAATCTCTTGGAGCTAAATGACTCTCAATGTTATGATAATTGGTAGCGTCTTCCACAGTAAAATTAATTAAATCCAGCAACCTTATCGAACTTGATCAACAGTTACAAGTAATAAATAATATTTTGTCTAATACAGATTAAGAAATAGAAATACTTTTTTAGAATTCCGATTTCATTTGAATGATTATCTATTTTTTCGTCTATTGTACACAAAATAAAAGCCTCCAAATTGTTGTCTATAATTTCGCAAATGGGTGTGCAAGCAAAGGAGAAGAGATAATTTGTGCTTTGACTATTAGATAAACACAAAAACTCCTATTACGCACATTAAGAATATGAAAATAAACAAAAAAGATGATTCATATTGTGAATGTATTTTGAAAACTGAATCAGTTCTCGATAATGTGAAAAAGACTTCTGTGATTTATATATATGTATTGGAGGAAATGTCATCAGACTGCGTCTCTGCTACGAATACGATCACATGGTTAAAAAATCATATGTACAAAAAATTTGAAACAATTCAATCATTTTGAATGACTGAGAAATCAAAGTTAAAAATTTCTACAGCTCTATGTCGTATTTGAAATAAAAAGAGAAGGGAGGCGTAAATATATTAACGGAATTAAAAAATTGTGGGGAAGAGAAAAATTTAGTGAAAAGTAATAAAGGAATGAGAGATTCCAATGACAAGTAGTACGTATATATACACTTACTACTGTGAACGATTTGAATTCTGTAAGAAATAATCTTCAAATGTTGATTCTCTCCTGACCATTAGTCAGCGATTTCGTCAATTGATTCGATATTTTGATCTGACGATCCACAATTCTCCTTCTACCTAATTTTACTTTAACTTAAGCGGGAGTGAGGTGGTTCGGGAATCGTCAAAGATAACCATTTCATTCAGTAAGTTCTTATAACCACCACCACCAAATTAGCTAACACTACGTCTAACATCACTTTCGAGATTACTTCCCAGAGTCGTTAATAGTAATATATATATATATACATATCATTGGTGTGTAGCTGGATATATCTCCGACACCAAAATGTGAAGCGAAATATTGAATTCCGAACGAGTCATATATTTATGCTGATATGCGACTCATTGTCTCTGGCTCAGTAAGTTGATCCTAGGGTTGAATTTTATTCCACTTCCTTCAGCCTTAGCAACTAAATATTATCATCATTATTATATTCCCTTCGATTCTGAGTGGAACATAAGGTTTCAAAAATACATCTCCACTATATTATATTTGGGGCTGCTCTCTTCAACTGGGTTCAGGTTTGACCATAGTCTCTTATCATCACTATCATGCCTTATAAATTAAGTATGGCTCATATCCCGGTACATGAAATATCTGTTTAGAGTAGTTGAACTCTAACAGCAACATTCTGATCACACCAAAACTAGTTTGTTAAATCTCTTTTGGCAACAATCAGTTCTAAATATGAGTAGTTTAAAAGGCCATTTCTTAATTTTCCCATCGACTTCTCCTTAATTAGATATACTTGAATTTTTCTAATTATATCTAAATAAACTACATCTCAAACTTTTAAAAATATTATTACTATCTGTAATTGCATTTATTGATTTTCAGGTTTTGGTTTTGTAGGGATTTTTTTTTGATTGGTTGGGGAGGATACTGACTAGCGACTTGCCCTATTCAG